TACACAAACAGGCAATACAGTGTGAAAGTGTGACAAGTATTGTTAAAGCAGATGAAGGATACAATACCTAAAGGATAAACAGGACACGTTAAGTTAGGGAGATGGTGAAGATAAAGGGAATAATAAGAGATGAGGCCTGAAAAGGCAAGTAAGAGTTTGAGCAAGGTCTTGTAAAAAGATTTTATCTTAATTGGAGAAAAATGCCAGATGATGATTAAAAGTGAAATGTTATATGATCAGGTTAGTACGTTAGATGGATCACCCTGGGAAGTGTAGAGAACAGTTGATATAAACAATATTATTGATTGCAGTATTGTTATAAAAACTCTGGAGGCAAATGGATTATATTATGGTACGAGCATATAATCAAATGCTAAGCAGCTATTACAAATGAAATAGAACTACACGCACTGACACACAAAGATGTTTAAAAAGATGTCAGATAGGCTGGGGATGATGGCCTCATGTTTGTAATCCCAGCAACCTGCAAGCGTGAGGTGGGCGGATCACCTGAGGTCAGAATTTTGAGACCAGCCTGACCAAAATTGAGAAACCCCGTCTCTACTACAAATACAAAATTAGCCAGGAGTGATGGCACATACCTGTAATCCTAGCTACTTGGGAAGCTGAGGCAGAAGAATCGCTTGAACCCGGGAGGCAGAGGTTGCCGTGAGCCGAGACCGTGCCATTGCACTCCAGCAGGGAAACAAGAGCGAAACTCCTTCTCAAAAAAAAAAAAAAAAAAAAAGATGTGGGATAAAAGGTATAACTCAATTTTTATAAAATGAAAAAATTTGTATGTACATAGTCTGACGGAATGCACACTCACCTACAATATTAATTTTTTAAGGCAGCAGAATCTGGGGTTTCCCTTCTGTGTAGGGCAGAAGTTATTTACATTGTTTTCTTCTATGCATGTATTAGTTTTATAATTAAAAAACACAAAGTTTTTTTTTTTTTTTAATAGGATACCATGGCACCTGCATAAAAAACATACTAAAGCAAAGTACGATTCAAGTCAGAGAAACCAGTTAGGAGGCTATTGCAATAAAATCCAGGTGAGATGCCGGGCGAGACCGTGCCTGAGTCTACCTGCTGGTGTACAGGATGAGTATTCCTTATCCAAAATGCTGGGACCAGAAGTGTTTTGAATTTTGAAATATTTGCATTATACCTACCAGTTGAGCATCACAAATCTGAAAATCCAAAATTTTAAATGCTCCAACGGGCATTTCTTTTGAAAGTCACATCGGCGCACAAATAGTTTCAAGTTTTGGAGCACGCTGAATTTCAGATGTTCAGATTTAGATGCTCAATCTGTTCCAAGATCACTGGGCCAAAATTAGAATGAAATTCCAGTCCCAACCAACCAAAGTACAATCCCTTGCTGAGTACTCCTCAAGATGATCTTACCCAAGAACCACATGCAGTTGGGACCATTTTCTTGAGACAGTCTTGCTCTATCGCCCAGGCTGGAGTGCAGTGGCGCGATCTTGGCTCACCGCAAGCTAAGTACCCATCATCTTCTTACAGACTGCTGAGATCGAACCTATACTCCCTTTAAATTTTGTTTTCACTGGTCATGGCCCTGGCCTGATCTTTTTTCCTATCGATACTGTCATAACAATCTTCTGTATTTCTCAGGCCAAAGCCACAAACCCTAAACCCTTGCCCTTCTGGAGACTCTTTCATGGTGCCCTCTGAGATTAGCCTAATAAACTCCCTTAATATCCTCAACTATTTCCCTGAACATTTCCTTTCATTAAACTTGGCTGTTCCCTGGGGAGCAAAAAACCCCTGACAACAATCACATCACAAGGGGGCTTATTCCCATGTATTCCACATATCCACAGGCTAGAACTGGGACCAGTATCTTCCTTGCTCCCTAACACTGCTTCTAACCATTGCAGCCTGGTAAAAACCACTCCTTCCTTTCAGGCTCATACCATCTAATTATACCACATTCTACCTCTCTTCCTGGCTATCTTTTATTTTTATTTATTTATTTATTTATTTGAGATAGTCTCGCTCTGTCGCCCAGGCTGGAGTGCAGTGGCGCAATCTTGGCTTACTGCAAGCTCCACCTCCTGGGTTCACGCCATTCTCCTGCCTCGGCCTCCCGAGTAGCTGGGATTACCAGTCCCTGCCACCACGCCTGGCTAATTTTTTGTATTTTTAGTAGAGATGGGGTTTCACCGTGTTAGCCAGGATGGTCTCTATCTCCTGACCTCATGATCCACCCGCCTTGGCCTCCCAAAGTGGTAGGATTACAGGCGTGAGCCACCGCGCCTGGTCTTATCTTTTATTTAAATGACCTCTCTTCATTCATGCAGACTTTACTACTTGCTTTGCTGTCTTCTCCACTGATGGCTCTACTGATAACTTGGAAGGACTTTCAAATATATAGAGATCTTCTTCACTAAAACCTCCTTGCAGTATTTCCTCCACCTTCCTCTTAGCAGCTAATCTTACCATGAAACCTATAATCATCTATCTATATTTTATTGGCCAGGAACAGTAGAAATGGCATCTCTTGGCTACAAAGGGGTTGGGATAAGTAGTTTTGTAGCTAAACACAATACTACTGTTAGCAAAACTGAAGATCTATTCATAAAGAATAAAAAATATATATATTTAGTTAGTACTTAGCAGTGGCTGCCACACAGTAGTTCTTAGGAAACACAAAATAGCATTATATAGTTCACATATTCTGACCACTGCTCAGTGAACTTAGGTGTACGGAAACAAACAGGTAATTTAAACCAACCCAGCCATTTTTCTAGTCCTGAGAGAATGGTGGAAGTATCCCTCTGCCTCATGGCAAACACCAATCCTTTTGTTTGTGCTCTAAACAGCGACACCCCATTCTCAGAAGCTAATATTAAACTTTACTAAGCTGCATATTAAACCTCACCATACTACATTCATCACATTAGAATTCAAATATGTTCTAGTTTTTCATATTTTAAACATATTATCTTTACTCCAAATCTCTCTCCAGCTACCACCCTTTCTCCTATTATTCAAACTTGTCTACATCCAGTCTTTACTTCTTTGCCCTTCATTGATTCCTAAAGTCAGCCCAATCTAGCAACCATCTTCAATGTACCACTATGTTATTTTGAACTGCAATCACGAATGATC